GAGAATTGGCAAAGTGATCACTTCCTGGCAGACGTGCTGAAGGTGACAGGCGCAAGCAGAGCTGCAGGTGAGGTAAACAAACAGTCGGGTTCAGGCTGTGGTTTCAAGTGACGTAAGAACAGCGGAGACGCATTGAAGCTGCCCTGACTCATGGTTAGTGGAATGCATAATTAAAAAAAATAGTGTTTTGCATGTGAAACAGAAATGTTCTGTCATCTCTCTTCACTGGAGCTAATCAACATATCGACTTCCACAGCTAACGATTATGTTCAGAATCTTTTGGAGTTGTTTCAGGTCTAATAAGTGATTGTTTGTCTTTATAATACCCTGCCCGTCATGTGTTCTCCAAGCTCAAGGTGACATTTTGAAATTGCTTACTTTACGAGTGGAACAGTCCAAAAGCCTGAAGGTGTTTAGATTACGGAAGAAAGAAAAGCAAAAGAATTCAAATTTGAGAAGCTAGAGCCAGTGAATTCTTGGCACAATGAATCAATGCTGCGCAATAGAGGCGACGGAAAAGGTTCGATACATTCCAAAAAAGTAAGGTGTTGAAGTGTTGATTTATAACTTTTTAAGTACTGGATACATTTTTGGTGGGATTGGAGCATAGCCATCTTAATCGAAAATAAATATGGTTCAGTTGTGCTTGCATTATTTTTAATATGACATACTTTATTAATTCCTGAGGTGAAATTCAGGTTTTATACTCTGATATTGAGATACTGGAAGATTGATATTCTCACACACATAGACCTGAATACACACATGTAAACAGAACCTGTGGACATGCATTAGTGGGGAGATGTCAGAGCGCACCAGAGCTGTTGGAGGTTCGATAACATGCTCATAGCAACTACTACTCAGGAAATATCCTGGCACCTCCAGAACCGAACCAACTTCCACACTTTGGTCCGACTTGAGCCGGCGACCTTCCAGGTTTCCAACCCAAGTTCCTACAGACTGAGCTACTGCAACCCCCAAAACTTAATCTACAACTAAAGTTATCACATCTGTTGTGATGTTGGTTTCCATTTCTGCCATTTGTCTTGTGACAGTTTCTACTGCTGGCATTGTTGAGGTACAAGTCAGAAGTTTAATGATTAATATGATCCTACAGTCTGCTGTAAAGTTCTTAAAATTGGAAAAAACATAGTCCACATTTATCAAGAATGTCATTGCATGCCACCACTTCCAGCACACATATCAGATTATGAAGATTATTTATGAACCTTAAATAACATTTCCACACATAATCTACAAAGCAGTCATCGCATTGTTCTTGGTCTAAAAGATGATTGACAGCATCTTAATTCTCAGCTGAAGAGGAGCGAGGAAAATGAGAAACTGTCCGTTTTCAATAAAGATTTCTTTACTCAGCTCCCACTCTCAGTGAACAGGCAATGCAATGTGTTGCTTGTTTGAAAACGTCTCTCACACGGGTTGTTTTTAGTGCATGTCATTTTGCAGAGGGAGAAATCACAGGTGACACCAAAAAACAATCTCATTCTCTCGTCACGCTGCGGCAGCACGCAAAGTTTATCTACGCAATCTTTCCGTCCTCAACCACTATAATTTACTCAACCACCTCGATCATATTGGTATGAAAAAAAAAACTAAAGCACAAATAGCAACCCATTGTGACCATAGACTGTAAATAAACATGGACGAAGCCTCAGTGACGTCATCGGCTTCTGCAGGGTTGTTTTGGAAGCCCAACCATGGTGGTTGCCATATTGGACCGCTGAACACACACAGCTGAGGCGGGCCGCTCTCGTCATTACTCGTGTGTCTTCTCACTCTGTTTTCGCTCCAAATAGCAGAGGCGCTGCTTGTCAACAGGCATGGCAGGCAACTGCTTGGGCCAGTATAGGCGGCCCCTGAGGGCTCACAAACTTAAACCAAAGTAGTGGCTCAAAATGTGAAAATGTTGCAATGACAGTAGGAAACCTCTCCTAGGGGGCCCCCATCTGACAGCACTCACTCTTGTTGCCCTGCTGAGCGTTGCATGCATGATTGCAGTGAAAACCAAAGTTTGTCAATGAAAGTCAACCAAGAAAAATTAAGAGAAATGTTCATTCTATTGGGGAGAAAAAAGAAACGAAGAGGAAGAGGAGTAAGCGTTGGGACACTGGCAGACATGATGGTGATGAACGCTGGTTGGAGGGCCCCCAAATTGATTTTTGCCGAGGGCCCCACCAGACTCTAGAATTGCCACTGCCAAAAATACATGCAGAGTTTATTTACAACAGAGACCGCTGCAAGCACGCGTCAAGCAGAACAGAGCAGATCGACCCATACAGGAAGTCAAGGGAACGCATAGAGCATCCTGTCAATTTCAAAATAAAACCCAATATACAGACTCACTATGTACTGTATATCCAATCACTTTATCAACCATGCATCAAAACATTGCACCAAATGAAGAGCAAATCTACCTCGGAAAGACAAAGTCACATATTGAGTGATCTTGTGGTTTCTCTGTAATCTTGTGAACCTGTAAGTCCAGATGTTCATGGCAGTGCTCCGCTGCACTTACATTTCAGAAAACAGACCAAGTGGGGCAGGCCGTGCAACGTCAGATGGAGCATTTTCCCCAAGGATCCTGTGAAAACCGCCTATAAGCCTGCTGACACATCGCTTCAACACAGCTCGCAGTCAGATAGGTCACAACTCTAATTATGCATAACTCTTAATCTTCATAAAATCAAAACAAACCCCAGCTCCATACAGTGTGTGCAGAAAAAAACATGAACAGATAAGACCAAAATCGTTTTTTGTACCAGGCTGTAAACATGTTACTTTTTTTTGCTGTCAGTCTTTTTGCGCCTCTGCATGGCGTTCATGTCTCAACCCCAGAGGTTGCAGTTTCATTCTGACCAATCACGACTATTACAACATGACCAGCTGATTTTAAGCACATGTGAAGGAGAACTGCGCAAGGTGTTGCAATGTATGTAGTGGTAACAGTTCATCTTCTTGAGTTATGTCTAAAGATATTTGATGAATTAATGATGGAAGAGGAAAAAAGGGGAGCTGAAGCTGTTCTACAAAATGTGACACATTAATACTTGTGAAAAGATAAACACAGAGCCGGAGCGATTCCTTTTGGTGAACCACTTATGATCGATGCATTTTTAGTTTTATTATTTGTAATGCGATACATGACCATGCAATGAGAGTCTCCTGATAGTTTTAATGACGTACATGTGATGTGATGCAGTCATGTAGCGAGATGTATAATGAAGCTGCTTGGTATTTACAGTAGGTTACTTGTTGCAGGTTTTATGGTCCAGTCTAACAGCAGCAATAGTTCTCCTAATTACTTTCCATCCCGTAACCCTGAGTGTACCTGCTACTGTGTGGAGGTGAAACAGAAACTTGCGGATTTGTTGAAGTGTTGAGATACAGTCCACACAGCTTCACAAGGGATTTTTTTTCCCCAACAGTGAAACCCCCGGTGGAACAGACTGGCAGCTCGGCAGCCTGCCTGTACATGCCTGCTCTGTACTGCTGTCACCACGCCTTCAGCCCCAAACAGCACAATTACCCTGCACTCAGTGACAGAGTTCAAGGTAGGCAGTGCTGTTTGGCAAGGCCGTAATTTGATTTATTCTGATGAAGCTGTCAACTATAAGAGTTAAGCTGTCTGCAGTGATCCGTAAACATAAACACACGAGGCTGAGGATCCGATAATAAATCTTACAAAGGTATTCATACGTGGGGGGGGGGAGGAAAGTGAAATGAGACACAAATACAAAGAGTCAACAAACAGGAGCTTATCAGGATCAACAATTTAAGTTTACCTTGGAGGATGATAAGAGAGGGACATGTTTTAAATGATCATTAATCTAAATTGAATGTAAAAGTTCATACCACAAGCTTTGATACTCTGGGAGAAAAGAGGAAAGGCCTTTCTTAGACGATGAGCGCTGCTTTGTAAATTTGCTGAAGCTAGGAGGGATGAATGGCAGCAGAAAATGGAGCGGAGCCTGCGGAGGAATGCACAAACCCACCTAACCACCTCCCACAGGCTGCCGGGAGAGCAGGCACACACATGCGACCCAACCGACCGGCCCCAGGAAGAGGTGGCACTGTGCAGCACTGCTACTACACAGTCACTCAGTGTGTTAACACTCAGCAAGAGATTTAGAGCCACTGTAGTCAGACTTACACATCTCCCTCAAATAAAAAAACATGATGGGTAATGATCGGTTAACCTATTTGACCTCATTCAATCTTTCATTTTATCATGAGATAAAACTAGCAGGATATTATCCATAACATACGGTCATCTTAAGTGTTGGTGTGTTTTAGGTGTAAACATATATTATTTTGAATTAATTCAAGAAATACCCTCAGTTCGGGGTGGAGGAATTTAGGAAATTTAAGATTTTTAAGGATGCTGGTTGAGTTTAATTAATGAACTCCTTTATAATAAAAGTTAACAATAAGCACTTAAACAAAAAGATTAAATAAAAAAAGGGATTTAAGGTTATTGAGATGTAAAAAAAGGCAGAGGGGACCTACTTAGAAAGAGTTACACCTGATTCTTTAAGATTGTTTCTCTCTAAGTTGCACAAGTAACTGGCATGTACACGCTGCATGCATCATGTTATCATTCCCAGGTGCCAAAGAAAATAAAAACTTATTTCCCGCGTGTAAAATGTAATGACATATTTTAGAATATAAAATGCAAACCTGCATCTTTTTTAAAAAGGGACATCGTGGGTAACTTTTTTTTTGTGAGAATCTTGGAGGGGGGATGTTGCAGTGTTGGTAAATTATTAAATCTGAGGGAGAGAGTGCGTGTGATGGTTAATCATTAACCTGGGCTAAGCTGGAGAGAAAGCAGATAGATGAAGATGAGTGACTGTGAAGATGAGGGGGGGGGGAGTGAATGGAGTGAATGGAGGGAATGATGGTTGAGGTTAAAAAAAAAAGAGTGAAGGATGTAGTCCACTTTATGAAATCAGGACCTAGAAACGTAGAGTCCAACTTACAGCCAGTTACTCGCGTTGGCCGAGAGCAGCGCGCAGCAGAGCATCAGGACGCACCGCAAAACATATTCCTCGGTCATCTCGAGAGGGAAGGAGAGGGGGTCGGTGAGAGATGAAATAATCCCGAGGTGGACAGGGGGTCGGTGGTGGAAAAAAAAAGGCTGCAGTGGCAAGGAATTTTCTCAATCCATCGTCCCGCATCCAGTGGATCATCCACCGGCGGAGACGCGCAGCCTCACGGTCCGGTCCGTCCGTCTGGTTCTCCCGTCCCTCCCTCTGCCGCTCCGCGCTCAGAAGGGACGGGCAGAGGGGGCAAAAGAGGGATGCTAAATATACGATCGAAAACTCTGGAGCCGCTTAGACTGAATCAGCCCCCTTCTTCTTAATCAGTTTGTTTACTTTCCCTGTGCGCTGTGCGTTAACGCCAACGGGTAGAGCGCATGGAGAAGCAGTCAAATTAAAGCCAAAAAAAAAAAGGTGTTCTTCCTCCTCTCTGAAGGCTTATCTGAAGGTCCTGCTCTCAAACACGCGGAACTTTCTTCCGTTTCTCCAACTCTCTTCCTACACATGAACGCACTGAGCGTAAATACGCACGGGTCCTCCTCACACACCACCGTCTCTCGGTGCGTCTGGCTGAGTGGAGATGTGTGCGCTGACTTTAGTGGAGGGGCGGTGCGAGGATATAGAGGTATGGCTGCGAGATGGGAGTTTTTTTTTTTTGGGATGGAGGAGGCGGGTTTAAGTGCGCTGCTTGAGGGAGTGTGTGTGTGTATACGGACGGGACAATGTGTGTGTTTTAGAGGTCCCCTGGGAGGATGCAATAGCACAGCCATTCACTAATGCCCTCCCCAACCACCCTCCACTCCTCTCCAACAGACACATAAACACACTCTCTTTCACTGACACACACACACTCCCCTCAAACCGCACACACACTTCTTGGCAGCGCCTCACTCTGCCTGTCACACACTCAACCAAATATTCTGCGGTCAACAGGCTATTTAAAGCTTGGCTGCAAAACGTCTGCATTGGAAACCAGCAAATCCCAATAATAAGACAAATGTCAGCTTCACACTATTGATTGATGAAAAAAATGTAGGAGCATAATAAGGTGAAGCAGCCACACAGGCCTCTTGTTAAACCTCTGAGGTCTCCGGATGACTCACCTGATCCTGGCGAAGAATTACCACTGAAAATGATATTTTATTTACATAACAATAAAAAAAAAAAAGATTAAAAGAGACAAAATACAATGCCTTAATTTAGTGCTGAGAAATCCACACCGCCTCAGTCCTCTACATATTTCCCCCTTTCAAACCTACATGATTTTATTTTTAACTCCAGTGAGAATCCCAAAGTTTCCAAAATTACCAAAGTTGTCAGACTGAATTATGAGGAAAAGGTTTAGCCTATAAAAAGATGCTCAAACATGTGGGGGTATCTTTTTTTAAACGTCTTGTAGCTACAGGTTTATAGGAACATAACTGAGTTTGAATGTTCATTCAGTAAATGACTCAGCTGCTTGAACCTGCAAATAGAGAGGGAAGATACGATTTCACGTCTTTATTTACCTTTAAACTTATTAAGGGAAGGGAATTCAATCGTCAATGATTGCAGGACAATCTGGAAAGTGACACAATGCTCAGTAAATAATGCAGAAAGCCAGCGGTGTTTTCTATATTAGACCCTCAACATGGTTTTGTATGATAGTTCAACGTGATAATATTTTAAATAATATAACATTCATAAAATGTCGTGAATGTATTGACAGTAGACAGAGATGTCTTCATCCATCATATTGTTATAAGTGTAATATGGTGTGTTATAATAGGAAATGTGGTACAATATAGTATCATGTATTAAAGACGATAAAATAAGTGTAATATGATCAGTGTTGTCAGATTCTGCAAATAAAGTGACACAGGGGGGAAACTGAGTAAACAACTAAAACAGACATTCTGATGCAATTTGTCATCTCTGATTTTGAGCTTTAAAGGTCACATATTATACAAAAATACACTTCACCATGTTTTTCTAACTCTAATATGTGTCCCTAGTCTGTCTACAAACCCCCCAATGATGAGAAAAGTCCATCCTCTCCGTCTTTAGCCTGCTCCACTTTTCAGAGAATGTGTGCTCAAACAGGCTGTTTGGAGATTTTCCCTTCATGACATCACAAAGGGCAGAAGCCCCTCCCCCAGGTGGGTGACACTCCCACAGCTAGGTGTTTGTTCTGCCCTCTGAGTCTGCCTTCTGACTGTAAACAATAGGGCATGGAGCGAGAAAGCCTGAGTACACCCAAGCCCTTCCAGAGAGGGGGCGTGGTCAGACACAGCTCATTTACATATTTAAAGGTACAGACACAGAAACAGCCTGTTCTGAGCAGGGCTGAAATAGAGGGGTTTATATGCATGATCAAATACAGGATCAGAGTGGATTTAGAACAAGAAACTTCACAGACATGTTTTGGCGTGTTCTGAGAATTATTTAAACTCGTTGAAAAGGAGGAGAATATGTGACCTTTAAATAAACATTTCCTGTACATATGAACTGCTGTTTTTTACACTCTCAGATGGGTGAGTCATCACAGAGCTATTAGAATTAAAATACTGTGTTAAAACCAATGCATATAAATACTAAAGGGCACAACCATGAAAACTTAATATTTCTCTTAATCAACATCATTAAGCCTCAATAAAGTGGAGAAACACACTATTGGAGAAATCTGGATTACTGTAACTGTTACTGAGTCATATTCTCAATGCAGGACAAAATTATTTCTTCAAACATTTAAACTTAAATGTGCAGGTATCACTCACTATGAATATTTATGTGAGATTGTCTAAAAGAAAAAAGGTTGTTTCTTCAGGGTGCTTTTTATATCATCTGACATCTACCCCATAGGAGTTGTTAAAGGCAGTGAAAATAAAAGTGTTCTAGTACTTGAGATCGGTCTTGGTCTTAAGATCACTTTTTGAAGGTCTCAGTCTCGCCTCTGAATCGAAAGCATTTTTACTCTGTCTTGTCTCGGTCTCAGACTGGATTTTCAACTCCAGATTTCAAATCAAGACCGGTAAAGACCACCACTGATAGGCTTTTTTCCCCCACATCAGTACTGTAATTAGAAGAAAACAAAAGCCCCAACGAATAACTTCAGTTCATTTGTATTTTGATTTTTATCCCCTGGTTAAGGCTGCAACCTTCCCAGTATTACGTCCTAAATGAGTGATACGTCCCCTGCTCACAAAGATGATGATTTTTTTAGAGATAAATGGTCTGGGTCTTGTCTTGGTCTAGATCCCTAAATGTCTGACTCTTGTCTTGGTTTCGGTTCGTGTGGTCTTTGTCTGCAACACTGTAAAATAACTTTGTAGAAATAAAAAATCGTGTCGCTGAATAATCTTGTTTACTTTTTATATCATATAGAACCATCAGTATTAATTCAGTCTGTTCAATAACTGGCTTAAAAACTCCTCACAGAGGCTTTAATCTGATTTCTGAGTATAGGTAGGATCAAAAAAAGAAAATTTAGTTCAGTGGTAAAGAAGAACAATGAAACAGCTGGTTTCAGTCAAAACCTGCAAATGTGTGAAAAAGGAACGGACAGGAGACTGCAGCAGCAACCGCTCCTCTCGGCCTCAGTCTGAGTCTGAAGTCTTGGTGTGTGTGTGTTTATGTGTGTGTGGTGGTGGTGGTGGTGGTTGAGTGTGTGTGTGTGTCTGTGTAGTCTAATCTCATTTCACTTGTTGGGTTTTGGGGGAGCTAAGAATACACGATGCTGGGACAAGACGCTGCAGCTGCACCACCAGCTGTGTGCAGTGTGGCTCCTGGCTGCCAGACGCACACACACACACACACACACACACACACACACACACTGTAGCGTTAAGTAAGCCAAGTCTTCTGTCTGAGTTTGGATACTTAAAGATAAGATAGATGAGCAGCGGTCCCTGCAGGAAGAGCTTCTCAGCAGCCAAACTAAATGAACTGAGCAGTGGAAGAAAGTGGATTATGAGCCTGAAACCAAAGTATCAAATAAACAATGAAAACAGTTACTGACAAGAGGCTCTGAAGTTTCTCCTCGTCTGAGTGGAAAGTCTTCAGGTTCTTCAGAAAAAGCCGCAGAGTGGAAGCTCCTGGACGGCAGAACTCAGCTCGTTTAGGAAGAAGCTGACCTACATTCAGTTGCCTCCAAACTTCAGCTCCCACTGAACTGTTTCTGCTTCATGATGAGACACATCACACCTGCATTGAGCGCAGGGTGTGTGTGTGTGTGTGTGTGTGTTCGTGTGTGCGTGTGTGTGTGTTAAACGCACCATGCATTACAGAGTGAGTATGAGGGCTGCAGCCTATCAGTCTGCTGCTGTGAAGGCTCCGGTGTCCAGTGTTGAACTGACATAAAAGGGTACAACATCCCCGAGTTCATCCAGGTCACTTCCCAGAGGTCACCTGCTTCAGCTCTGCTGCTGATTGGCCAACAGAGGGAGGAAGTGAGTAAAGGAGCTTTTTTTGATGATGAGCAGGAAATCAAAAATGCTTTAAAATGCTCATCACTAAAAAACTCTCACAATCACACCATGTTTTGTAGGTAAGGTTGAGGAGTTTACATTTGTTAGAAAGATGTATGAGACAATGAAGGGACTAGTTTATTCTCATTGTCCAAAAACTGTTTTTTTAATTCTTAATTTTGAGTGTCCACTAAACCTCTGACTTTCAGAAATCTATTACTCACTGTTGTAGTCAAGACCACACTGACCAGGACCAACACTGAGACCAGAGCGCTCCGTGACAGAGACATTTAGGGATCCAAGACCAAGGCAGGGCGAGACTGAGACTGAGACCAGGACCATAAATATCACTGAAAAAAATCATCTTTGTGTGCAGCGGGCGTGTCACTCACTTAGACGTGACACCAGGAAGGTTGCTGACGTAACCAGGGGATAAAATTGAAGTTATTTGTTCTCATTGAAAGGGCTTGTTTACTTCTGATCACAGTAATGACGTGGAAAAAAATAACCTTTCAGTGGCGATCTTTGACCGGTGTGGATAGAAATCCGGAGTCAGCCCAGTCTGAGACCGAGACAAGACTGAGTAAAAATGCTTTCAATCCGGAGACGAGACTGAGACCTTCAAAAAGTGTTCTCGAGCCCAAGACTGATCTCAAGCACGACAACACTACCATAACTTATTCTTAATGAAGTGAAATCAAAGACAACATTTTTACCTATTTCTTTTGATGGACAAGAGGAATGAGTAAAACCTGAAAGATATTCAGTACATGACACAGTGTTCACCTTGAACTAGGTGCTTATTAGCATGCTAAGTAGTTAGCACAGTGGCTGCTGGTTAGTCATAATTAAGCGCTTATTAGTACCTTATTCTACATGACCATAGACAAAGCTCATAGGTCATTAACTAAGAGTTAATAACTGCTTATTGATAGTAAGTTAGGACGTTGTTGAGCATGAATCTACCTTATAAGGGCCGTACTACTCAAAGCAACAACAAAAAACAAAATGATTTGAGCACTTTCTCACACTCAAAAGTTTCAACCCACTTATTCCTCCCCATTGCTTTGTATATATGTGTGCCTGTG